TTTTTGTGCTCTTCATCTTCTCCTGACACATCTACGGCTGCGCCCATTCTCCCCTGTTCACTGTCCTCAGGTCCCTCAATTCCTCAGGCTTTTCCTTATGATTATCTTCGGGAGTGTATTCCTCGCTCTCCTCAGATTGTCCTTCTGCCTCCTTTTCCCCTTCTTCCGCACTCCCTGTCCTTTCTGGTGAGTAATCACCCTTCTCGGACTCGTACTCTTCCTCATCGTTATCCCCTTTTGATGTGGTATCAGCATCTTCCGAACTGTTACTGTCTTCAGCAGCATTCACTCTCGGCTACGGACCTGTCAAACGCTTCCTCAGCCTCTACTTGTTTTCCAGAATGATCAACTTTCGGGGCAGAACCACTTTGGGTGTTCATGGAGGCCCTTGCCGATTCAACCTCATCAGTCCCCTTCTCATACTGCTCTCCAATGGCTTTCATTTCCGCATGGGAACCGGCCTTTTTAAGCTCTTCATGGATCTGCATTTCATGGCTGTTCTTTCCCGCCGATTGACTGTTTTCTCCCTGAATTCCCTCTGTTTCCTTAGACCCGTTCATAGCAGAACCACCCTCGGGTGATTCACGACCACTTTCTACAGACGACTTCGCTTCAGGTGCAGTCGAAGCGCCTGTAGGAATGGAGGGTGGTTCTGGGGCAGTTGACGGCGGTGCAGTTGGTGCAATCGAAGGCGGTGTAGCAGTTGCTGCTACACGTGTCTTGCCTAAAACAGATCCATCATTCTCACAGGAAAAATCTCCTTCAAAGTCACCACTTGCTGTAAAAATCATATATAAAAATGAAGCTTCGGGGTGCCGTCCAGGGAGGATTCTTTCGTATGGAGGATTTTCGTTCCGTCCCCTACCAATGGGTGGAATATGCACTCCGACGTTTTGGCCCTCTATGGCGCGGGATATGGATAGTAACCTTGGTCCTCGTCTTTGCTTACAGATTAGGACTTCTCAGTATCGCTCAGTATCCTCATATTACGGTTAAGATCCTCTTTCAAAGGCACCATGCCAGCACTCCCCCCCCCTGCCCCCTCCCTCTTCAGGGCCACGTAGGTGACAAAACAGCAAGAAGAACCCTTCCAAAGAGCCGGACAGCTGTAGATGTGGGCGGAGACTCATGATCCCAGCATCTTAATAAATGTTGCACCCCTGGTATGGGTAAGGACGACGCTTTGTGAATAAGCACGATAGTTCATGAGTTCTCGGCCCTTCGACCACCGCGGAATGCCCTACGGGAATCGTTCGCTTCCGATCGGGGCGAAATAAGCAAGCAAGAAGTTTACCTTTCTGGCGTGTTCATAAATCCCAAGTGACTGCAGAAGCGATCGTAGAGTTGTTCCTTCTGAAACGTAACGTTTCTCACACACGTATTCTATTTAGGTTGTCCGGAAAGTTCTCAGCGTTTTGGGTGTTTCACTTTAAACGATCGTAACTTTTTTAATACTCATCGGATTTAATCGAAATAGGCACCATTCGAATCAGCACACTTTTGCCAATGTGACAGCAGTCGAGAAATCCCATCAAAGTAAAAAACTGGGTGGTCGAAAATTCACGAAATCCACTAAGGCTTTTTTGCCTGGTCCTGATTGATGAAGTATTTTCCAGCAAGGGAGTTCTGAAAATGTTAGAAAAGGTGATAGTCGGTTGGCGAAAGGTCTGAAGAATATGGCGGTTGAGGTAGAACTTCAACCCCCAATTCGTTCAATTTATGGATAGTGATTTGTGAAACGTGTGGGCGGGCGTTGTCATGCAAAGGAATCGGACCCTTTCTTTTGATAAGTGTTGGCTGCATCTGACAAAATTTTCGGTACAATTCGTCGATTTCTTCACAGTAGGGTTCTGCTGTGATGGTTTGGCCTGGTGATAAAAAGTTATAGTGGATCACACCAGCCGATGACCACCAAACCGTGACCAGAATCTTTTTTTCGTGAGGGTTCGGCTTTGAAAATTACCTCGGTGGTTCGTCGAAATCCAACCACTGTCCGGAACGTCTCCTGTTATCATACATGACCCATTTTTCATCACAGGTGACAATTCGGCCCAAAAACAGGTCGTTTCTGCTGCGCAAAAGCAATGCAGAAGGAACCTCGAGACGTGCCGATTCCTGCCGGTCACTCCGATTGTGGGGCCCCAACTGTCGAGTTTTTTCACCCTCCATGCGGTTTCAGCCTATTCTGCACAGTGGATTTGCCAAGGCCTAGCTCTTCTGCTATCTCTCGAACTGTTTGGGATGGGTCAGCCTCCAAAATCCCCCTAAAATCCTCGTCAGATATTGCTTTAGGTCGACCGCTATGAGGTTCACCTTCAAGGCTGAAATCTCCAGAACGAAATTTGTTGAGCCATTGCCGCACAGTGCTTTCTCTAGCACTATTGGGCCCCCACACCTGGTTAATTTGTTGAGCTGTTTCGATTGCGGATTGCCCCAATTTATAGTCGAAGAAAAAAATCGTCCGAAGTGCTCTTTTCACATGCTTGAAAAAATCTTGAAAAAAGGGGTTTATCAAGCAATGGTGAAACGGCAATTATACCATCAGATAGCGCAAGAAATTCTCTACAGGATGTGCTACTGAGAAGCAAGGCAGAATGAGTTTTTAATCAGCAGTGAATGTACAAAGAATAGGTGCACAAAACGCTGAGAACTTTCCGGACAACCTAATAGAAGGAAGCCATCCCAGCCTTGTTCCAAAATTTAGTGACCTCATTCAAATACTCACTTGATCGTCTTTTGATGGTGATGCTGAGTGTATCTGATCCTTCGTGACAGGATATGCAGGAGGATTTATCTTTATAGTAGATTTCGAAGATCCCTCTGAAATTCATCAATGCCGGTCTTCAAAAAAGAAAATGTTTTTGCACATACTCCGAGAATAGGAGAAAGGGGAAAGGTGCCGCTGCTAGACGCGTAGCCGCGTAGTCGTGGATGATGTTCCGTTCGCTCCAATTAAGCCTTTCTTCCCACCTGGGCGTATGTATTGGAAGGTATTAAGTTAGTATGGGGAGATAGAAAGCACTTCGTTATGCATCAGCTGGTCTTGATACATTATTGCTCAAGTATAAGTCTTGTTCACTGCGGAACGTGTCGGGGACGAGCGGGGGGAGGAAGGCTTGACTTGCAGTGCGCCCACCCATTTCCACAATCCTTGTCGCTTGCTTCACCACTGGTGGTAAATGGGTTGGCGCCACGCCACACCCAGCCCTTCCCTGATAGATCCAGCAACAGAAGCGAACCACGCCATAAATATGTGAGTCAACCGATATAAGATGAGCGCGGTGGGCGGAAACCCTTTCCTGGCCTGTCAACCCAGCTTACCCAGCGCGGCACTACCGTATCACACAATCAGATTCCGGTGGTAAGCGCACCCTACTACCCCCCCCCCCCTTGAACCATGCTTCTACGCCCGCTGCCACTCGCCTTCCCTGAACTTCAGATGGAATAAGCATCCAATTGTCACCGCAATCCACCATGGAATCCGAATACGAGCAGGAAGTGTCCTCGTATGGGGTTCTTCAAAATTCGAGTTCCTAAACTAATAGACGAACCTTCCCTAGAACTGCTATTTTTCTCACTGCCTGATTTTTCTTCCTCCAGTGTCTTGCTCGGACATCTCCGAATCGTCAGCTTCCTGAATGTGAGCTCTCAAGCAACTGAAAAATCGTTGGCAATTCATCAGGCTAACCTCGTTCATCTCAGATTCTGCAGCCAAGTCGTCTGGAGTAGGGCGCGCAGATGGTGCGGCAGGTGATACAGGAGAACCTTTACTATGTTCTGACTTCGCGGATTCCTGAATGTTTTCTTCGAGGTATTTGGCTATTTAATCAGATGACTAATTTCCAAAAATCCACAATGATTTATTAGCTTAGAAGTGAGTTTGTCAGTAAGGCAGCCATCATGGAAACTGTTACTATTACGGAACCAGCGAACTCTACTGCGCTCATCATTTGATAGTGAGTATACTCGTTTGAGGGATTTGAGATCACTAGGAAGTTATGTCGACTCTTTCCTCGGCGGGGCAATCCCTTTTTGGCCAGCTTTTTATTCCAAAGTTTTCTCTATACGTTTAAATAAATGGTACCATCTGACCTTTTAGGCGCTATTGAAGCTATTCCTACCCCACGAATATCACATTCGTTTCGAGCGCTGGCGTCATCTGGCGCCATTATGCGCCAATTTGGCGCCCACCACTTTTTTCACCAAAGTCGATGAAAACTTGCATATGGGGGTTACTTGAGGTCCTGATTACGAATCCGACATTCATTTTTGGCGCTTGGCCGCCTACGCGCCCAATTTGGGCGCCACATTGGCGCATAATGGCGCCCAAATGGCGCCAGCGTTTGAACCAGTGTGATATTGTGATCAGGATGTCGATTAACCCCATATGCAAGTTTTCATCAACTTTGGTGAAAAAAGTGGTGGGCGCCAAATTGGCGCATAATGGCGCCAAATGTCGCCAGCGCTCGAAACGATGTGATATTCGTGATCAGCATATCATCTATTACTCCGTTTCAGCGGAAAAATTTTTGAACGTTTTTGGAGCTAGGAGATAGTTCAATCCGACTTTTGTAATCAAGGGAATTGTTTCAAATATTAATTACCTGAGAATGTGCTTCGGGTTCTTCAGGCGGCTCTGGCCGTTTCGGGTAGGCCGGTGGAGACACTGACTTTTCAGGAGGTGGTGGTGGTGCTGCCGGCTCGCCATGAGAATCCTGAATCAAAAATCTTGATCACTGCTACAGAATTCACCCCGCTTTATTCC